CAAATGGTAAACATGCTTGGACAAGCAACATGGATTCAATTGAATCTTATTTCATATCTTTGTATATGGGTTGTCATCAATTACTAAAAAGGGGAGATTGAAAACTCTAGTTTGGTTTTGGTGAATTGATGAAACCCTAAGTGCTTACCTAGTTTATCAAGTGATCATGATATAGGTAGCACACTCTAAGTGGTGAAGCAAATGAAGATCATAACTTGATGATGGTAATGCCATGGTGATGATCAAGTGCTCGGACTTGGGAAAGAAGAAAGAGAAAAACAAAAGGCTCAAGGCAAAGGTATAAATTATAGGAGCCATTTTGTTTTGGTGATCAAGACACTTAGTGAGTGTGATCACATTTAGGATCGACAGCCGTACTATGAAGAGGGGTGAAACTCGTATCGGAATGCGGTTTATCAAAGTGCCACTAGATGCTCTAACTCATTGCATATGCATTTAGGATCTAGTGGAGAACTAACACCATTGAAAATATTTGTGAAAATATGCTAACACATGTGCACAAGGTGATACACTTGGTGGTTGGCACATTTGATCAAAGGTGGTGAAGTTTAAGTGCAAGGGTAAGAAACTCCACCGGCGGAGTGTCCGCCCGTAAAGTGCGGACAGTCCGACGGTGTCATCGGCGCTCTAGACAGAAAAGACGGAGGTCACTGGAAGTGACCGGACGCTGGTCGTTCAGCGACCGGACGCTGGTGGTTGCGTCCGGTGCTGTTGTCGGGCTGAGCAGCAGGCAGATACCTAGCGACCGGACGCTATTAGGGTCCGGCCAAGCATGACCGGACACGTCCGGTCGGCAAAAGTTGGTTTTGGAACCTTACTGTAAACGACCGGACGCTGGGGGTTCAGCGTCCGGTCAACTTCAGCGCAGTGTCCGGTCAAGGCAGATGACCGTTGAAATCGGTACACGTGGCTAACAGCGAGCAACCGGACGCTGGGGGCTCAGCGTCCGGTCAACTGACCGGAGCGTCCGGTCACCCCACGTTTTATCCAGTGAAGGGGTACAATGGCTCTATTTCATGGGGGCTTCTATTTAAGCTCCATGGCCGACTCAAGCTCACTCTCTTGGCTATTTTCATTGACATAGCAACCTTGTGAGCTTAGCCAAAGCCCTCACACTCATCTCCATCATTGATTCATCATCATAGTGAGATTGAGAGTGATCCAAGTGCATTGCTTGAGTAACTGCATCTAGAGGCACTTGGTGTTCGTGTTTCGCTGCGGATTTAGCTTGTTACTCTTGGTGGTTGCCGCCACCTAGATGGCTTAGAGCAGCGAGGATCGTCGAGCGGAGGGTGATGATTGTCTCCGGCTCCGATCGTGGTGATTGTGAGGGGTTCTTGACCTTTCCCCGGCGAAGCGCCAAAAGATACTCTAGTGGATTGCTTGTGGCTTGTGTGATCCTCATCTTGTGTTGGTTGTGCGGCACCCTATTGAGGATTTGGCGTGTGAGGCCAATTAGCGCGTGAACCTCCAAGTGAGTGAATCGCCACAACGAGGACTAGCTTGCCGGCAAGCAAGTGAACCTCGGTAAAAATCATTGTGTTCATCATATTGATTCCGAGGTGATTGATCTTCATTGTTATCCACACTTGTGATTGATTGGTTCATACATCTACACGGCGGTATAACCTTCTTGCCTACTCCTTATCTTACCGCAAACTAGTTGTCAAGCTCTTTAGTGTAGCTAGTTGTGAGAGCTTGTTTGCTTGGTTGGTGTGGCTCTTTAGTTAGCCATTGAGAGCACACTAACATAGAGTAGTGTTATATCTATTGTGTGATTAGATACTATCTAAACTAGAATTGTGGTAGGCGGCTTGCATTTGAAGTAGGCTAGCGCGACACTTGCTTCGCCTCATAATTGTCTAACCATCTTGATTAAGTGTTGTTGTAGAAATTTTATTAGGCTATTCACCCCCCTCTAGTCATTAGGACCTTTCACCCGGGCAGCAGGCGATGGCGGCACGACAGCATGGGTGCACGCGCGAGACAACAGGGAACAGTGGCGCTATCCTAGAAGCACGGCTAGGCACGGACGCACACGGTGGCCTAGTGCACTGAGGGGCGTCGCGGGGAGAGAAATAGCGCGGAAGGGGTGGCGCTGGGGCATCGCCGGGTGCGGCCACTGCGATGGTGCGGGCTCACAGGAGGGGCAACGCAGAAGGGGCGGCGCTGGGGAAACTGCAGGTCCAGTGCGGCTGCGGGGCGCGGGCGCGCTCGCTCGCGGGGACGGGCCAGCACTGGCGGGGTGAGGCGTGGCGACTGCGGCGTGAAAGCCACGGAGGCGAGGAGGAGCACTGTGGAGCCGCCAGTCCAGCGCGGAGACCGTGGGGCACGCACGCAAGAGGGGAAAGGGGAGATACGACGGTTGCGGGGTCACCGCGGCAGTGCTCCAGAGCGAGCGGGAGGTGCGGCGACTGCGGAGCGCCAGCACGGCCGCGGCACGGACGACGGCGGAGCAGGCGCCTGGGAGGAACAGCGACATGGAGCAGCCGTACCAAAGCGGTCGTGGAGCTCTACGGTGGAGCGGCGCAGGTCCCGGGCGGGGCACGGCAGCCGTAGCGCTACGAGGAAGGTGCGGAGTACGGGGCTACGGCATTCGCAAGGTGATGGCGGGCGCTGCGGTTGTGAACACGAGGAGCAGAGGTGGAACAGAGCAGAGCCGAAAAGCAGCAGCTGCAGCAGTCCGACCAACTCTCATTAAGGCACTCACAGAGAAAAGGACGCAAGAGAGAAGGGACAGCGCGGGACAAGGCCGAGACAGATGGAGACAAGCCGAGGCATGCAGCAGAGGTAGCACGATAAGGTTATTAGTTTGACAGAACAACGGAGACAGTGGTTACTCGACGGTGCACGACAGAGAGAGAACACGGCGTGGGCAGGAGCAGAACCACGTGCACCAATTTCAGACGCCCAGCGTAGTGGACCAGTTCAGATGCGATTGGATAGGAGGCTTTGTAATGCAGAAAAATGCAGAGCCACGACGAGAATGAGATGGTGAATAATTGCCATGCAACGAGTACACTGTACGCCAGAAAAAATAAACGAAGCTGCTGCGCTCTCTCTCGTCAGTTCGTGCTTACCAAAATAAACCCGTGGGTATATATATCGTTCTATTTATTAATGGATTTTATTTTATTTATAAAAGTCGCTTTCCATACTTAATCTAATAGAACAAACCGTTCTCTATCTATCGGCTAGAATTGTTGTCCGACATTCCTAAATATCTCTACGCGCTGAATAATTTCACCTGGACGTTTATGTCAGTCCACTAAACTGAGTCACACAGTATTCGCTTATCGCCTCAAGTACGTTTTAAAATAAAAAATCCGAGAAACCCGTTTTTGAAAATTTTACTTAGACCTAAATCATAATACTAAACAAGATCATAACACCAGAGGTGTTACACACAGTCTCTGCATAGTTGTGGATATCGAGGTAGCCGATGTCGTAGGAGCTGAGGCCGATGTAGCCGCTCGTAGACGAGGTCAGTACATGTTATTAATATGTAATCAAAATTTAAATTATATTTCTAACACCCTTGAGAAGACAATGCTACTCTAAACTTAAACTACATGTCACATGTTATTAATAGGCAATCAAAATTTGAATTATATTTTCTATTTGGAATTTTCCTTGCACGTCTTGATGGTTAAGCGAGACGTTGCAGGACGGGTTGCGTGGTGTTCACGCTGTGGTTTTGCAAGGGTTTGTCTCAGCCTACATCTTCTGCTTTATATTGGCCTAGTTTATGTTTGTGATACCATATAAGACTCAAATAATTATAAGCAAGGTAAAGTCAGAGCATGACTTTTGAAAAAATAAAATAAAATTAGTTTCATATTTTTCTGGAGTTTAAAATTTCTTCTAAAAATAAATCAGTTTTACTATAAAAAGTATGATTTAAATTACTGACGTGATGTCACATAGGACAACTAAGTGATGCGTCGCCAAAACGCTTTCAAAACCACTCAAATGTACTTCTCTTGCACCACCAAAATTCGAGTTTTCAATTAAAAGAAGCAAATTGAACTTTTGTATTAGTTATGCGGAAGTTCACGTTGGCCAAAACGCTTTGAAAACAGTTCAGAAAGGCAAATTAGATGATTTATTTTATTAAAGAAAGTACATAAAAATTCGGTTAGCAAATCAACCTTTCGTAACAGTGGAGGTAGTTCAGATAGATCCAGAGGATAGAGTAGATTAGTGGGCAAGTGGGCGTAACCGTAATCTTCACCCTGCGCCCCTCCCTCTTGTTCTCCGGTTCCCCGCGGCATGCTCTTTCCTGCTCTCTGTCTTATCTCTCTCTCGGTTCTCCCGGGTCCCTCGCGTGCGCTCTGTCTCTGGTGGCGCCGCCTCCGCCGCCCTGCGCCAGGTACCCAGACCTTCGCCGGCGACGTGCACCCACCAGGTGCGCCCACCCCTTCTCTTCCGTTCCTGCTGTGCGAAACGGAGCACCCAAACCCAAGCTATATGCGTTCGGATCTGATCTGATCCAGTTACAAGTGTAGTAATAGTATACATGTATTATGCACACAAACTTTTTTTCGTTTTTTTTTTTTGAAAAATTGGGTGTACATGTGTACATCCATGCCCCTTACTGGGTCCGCCTGAGTGTCTCGTCAATTGTGTTGCTTAGATTAGATTGTCCCCGCTTTTGAGACCTTCTCTGGCTAGAATTTGATCGTTGACAGCGAGTCGATGGGTCATTGGTGTATGATTATCTGGCAGTTGTGGTGTACTGGTAATTTGATCATCTCAGTTTGGTTCAGAAGTGTGAATATTGCTCCGTCTTCAGTGTTTACCCCTTGTTGAATCACTGTATGAATCCCGTTTTCTGTTTCCTACTGGCAATTCTTTTGTGCTGGACCTTGCTAGGTAATCAAGTGCTGTTTGCCTGATGTGTATGTGATAGCATCATTTTGCGGTTACCTTGGTTGCTGAAATTGTTTCTTGGAAAATGGCAGATCAGATTCGTGGATATGGCTGATAATGAGAAAGAGGTGGGGGAGGGAACCACCCCCCGAGGGGCGGACTGGGAAGTTGTGACTCTCACAGCATCTGCGTATGAAGCGGCGCCAGGGCCTGTCGGAATGGAAGTAAAGCCTGTTAATGAAGATCAAGAGTGTAGTTCATCCAATGAACTGCCCAGGCCTGACCACTTTGTGTTTCCGCCGAGTGAGCACGAGAACCTGCCAATACAAACCAGTTTTGATGAGATACAGCCTGAGAAGGATGTGCAGAAGCCTAGTACCAGTGTGGAGGATTATAGTGTCAAGAATGATGTTGGGTCTGAGAGAGTTCAGTTCGATGATGAAGGGAAACACCTCTCAGATGATGATGTGGAGATGAGAGATGACACGCCTGGAGTGCGGTTCATCTCACGCTGAAGATGATGCACATGGTTTTGTTTCCCATGATGATGGCAATGAGTCTGGTGAAGATTTTGATGAAAAATCAGGCCACCCTTCAGAGCCCGCAGACAGCAAGAGCTGTGATACTGGTGCCTCATGCAAATGTTGGTTGAAGAAGCATATGACATGCCTGTATAACCAAGCAAAAGAAACAAATGCTATCTGGTCTGTGGTGGTTGCAGCTGCACTAGTTGGGATTGTGATTTTGGGACGTTGGCACAAAAATAAATTGCACCTTAACCAGCTTAAGTGGCGCTCTGGCTCAACAGTAAGGTATGTTAACCAATTGTTTCCTACAATTGTACACATTATTTCATAGGTCTCAAGTATTTAGTCAACTTGTTCGCCTTTTTATAGTGTTCTGCACTTTATTGGCTCAATATGTGCACACAAGCGCATGTGGTTCCTCTTGTGGACATCTGCAGTTTGGCCTAGAGTATTTGCATAGTGTATAGTATATTTCGTTTGGTAATAGTCAAATTGATCTTGCAGTTCTGGCTGATATTATCTGTCTCATCCTCTTAGTTTCTAGTGTAGTAGTAACTAGTAAGGTGGCAGTATATTCTGAAACTGATGGTTGGATGCTTTATCTGCATTTCAATGGTCGTTAGTCGTGCTCATTTTATGGGTGTGATTTTGGAATTCAATCTGATTGGATAGCAGTTATACCAAATTGCATCCATTGCCTAAAGAAGATTTGGAGCATATTCATTCATCTGATGTATATGGACTAGTAACTAAGGAATAGTACTCATCTAGTTCAAGATTCTTTTCTGAATTCAAATTGAACTATCCCTCGTATTAATCTTATGTTTTAGACACTGCTAAGTGAAGGCACAGGATCACATGCTCATATTAAATCTGTCTATTACTTAAGTAATTTTATTTTTATCTCCGAGATCACCTATCTTCATGGCCTATGAGCAAAGCAATTGGACCTTGCAAAAGTTTGTAGTATATATGACATTTGAGTTAGGGCTATTTCTAGAAGATATAGGTGGGTCCCTCTCTAAATCCTATAACATGAACAAAAGGACATCTTGCACGTACATCAGTTTTTTTTTTTGAATTTTATGGGTTAAGTTCTACATGTGATTGTATCTATTTTTGTTGATAAATGATAATGCAAAGGATACACCAATCAAATTTCCTAATTAGACATGGTGCAGCTATCTTCAAGTATTTTTCAATCTGTATTAAATCTGGATTTGAGCTAGAACCTAGGATATTTTGGTATATTACTCCCCCAGTTTCTAATTATAGTTCACTTTGGCTTTGTCCTAAATCAAACCTCGGACCACGTTTTTAGAAAAACATATTGATATCTACAAGATCAAGTAAATTCTATATCAAAATATATTTGCATGAAGAATCTGATGAAACGAATTTGATGTCTAGGTGACTAGGTGTTGGTGATTTTTTCTATAAACTTGGTCAAAGTTAAAGAAGTTTGACTTAGAATAAAACCAAAGTGAACTACAATTTGGAACAGAGTGAGTACTTGGTTTAGGTTCTGATATTGAACTCAAACTCTTACATTCTTACTTGGATAGTGTTGAAAAACATTGCCTGTTTGAAAACTACATTTGATATCAAAGTCTTGTGCTCTTGTTATATTTGGTACGTAGCTTGGATGAAACCATTTCGTATTCTATATCTCTATATTCTGCATAAAGACATTCTTTTAACTTCTGTTTTTGGTTGTTGGAGGAGAACAAGCATCAAATCTTTGTTTGCATATCACCAGACTAGTTCTGTTCTAGTCAGTTTTCATATTATTATGTGAACTTTGCATCATTCTCGCCTATTTTGTTATGTGAATAGTCACTCCGAAAAGTGTGTTGGATTATTTACATTTTAGAAATTAGAATTAAGGTTCTTGATTGACATATTTTTGTGAATTTGTTTACATGGTTGCTATCACGTTTGTGTTTTTTTTTTTTCAATTCACTACTTCGTGAATCAATTTTGTTAATGTAGCCTACAATTTTTTTTCTTCCTAGCACCATCCCGAATTTGGAAAGCTAATTTCAAACTCTCTCTCTCTCTCTCTCTCTGTTTGCATCCCATCATTTTGCTAATCCTTCGACTTGGATCTATAGCAATGACCTATCATCTTGACTTCGATTCGCATATGTTACAAATTGATTTTATTTGCCTTCAAATGTCTAATAAAGTGATCATGACAAGGATTTCGATGTAAGGTTACTCAACGGTTTAGAAGTTGAAACATTGGTTGTCTCTTTTGAAACACATCGGGAATGGTTGATTGGTTTAACCCTTTCCAAGCAATGTGATTTGGTGATATCTCTGTACTACTTGGCAAATATTTTGTGTCATTTACCATAATATGATCTGCGCTCTTTCTCATATGTTGGTGCATACCATGCATCCATCGAGAATCGATAAAGTATGTCAAGGCGTCGAACCCTCGACGCCACAGGCCCTCATTTGCGGAGCTCGTAGCCTTGCACCGTCTTCTCCGGTGAGGTTATGCCCCTCTCTACGCATGAGCTTGAGATTAGATGGAAGATAGGATAACAATCTTGCTTAATTTCTTCAAGTCCGGTTACCATAATATATATATCCTATGGTACGCCAACAAAAGGAAAACAAACTCCTAATCTTAAGGTAACAAATAGATGCTAATAATAATAAAGGAACTAATCTCGATAACTTTCAACCGAGGCCTCCTAGCCACGACGCGTGCTCGATCGGCTCATCTTGGGCGCGTGCAGCGCTGACGACGCCTTCGGCCGCCTCACGTGTATGTCGCGGCGCGCTGCTCAAGGCCGGGCGACACCCCCAAGACATGACATCTCTCCCGCCTCGAAGTCCGGCTCGTCCTCGAGCAAAACGAAAAAGCGAAACCGAAAGGAAATCGCCGAGGTCTTCCTAGGAGGTCGCAGTGGGTCGTGACCCTCCCATTCGACGAGGACTTGGCGAACTCCACGAGCCAGCGGCCTGTGTCACCCGCGATGGCGCGAGCACGGCACGGCAGATGGAGAGGGGCGCAACGCCGGTGGAAGCGGTGGCGGTGACCCCACAAACTTCTTGAGGGCGCCACGTGGAACACATCGTGGAGGCGGGCATCGGGGGGTAGCTCGGCGCGCGGCCGCCTCATTGATGACCTCGGTGACCTTATACGGACCAACGAAGCGGCTTCGACTTGCCATGCACCGACGTGGCATGGGCGCAGAAGAAGACCTCGCCGAGACGCCGTTAGCCGCCCAGGCCCCCAACGGTGAAGACGACGCGACGATGATCTTGATCGACGCGCGCAACCACGGACCGCTGGCTCTGCTCGAGACGGACACGAATGTTGTCCAGAAGGCGGCCCTCTCCTCCATCTCTTGAGCGACGGGCGCGGCGAAGCCAGCCGCTTCGCCAGGACCGAATGGTCGGCGGGTCCTCGCCAGTAAACCACACGGAATGGAGTCTCACGCAAGGACGATCGAAGGCGGTGTTGTAGGTGTACTCACCACGCAGCACACGGATCCATTGGCGGGGCGACGCCGTGAAACATCGCAGTACATGACGATGACCCGATTGGCGGCCTCCGTCTGGCCGTCCGTCTGCGTGGGTGGAAGGCGAGGACATGTAGAGCTTTGTCCGGTGAGCCGCATGAGCTCTCTGCGAGAACGCCGATGTGAAGATCGGGTCGCGGTCCGACGTGATGGACCGCGGCACCGGAGAAAGGCGACGATGTCGGCGAAGAAGGCGTTGGCGACGGACTCGGCAGTGTAGGGATGTGCCAAAGGAATAAAATGGCAGTACTTGCTGAAGCGATCCACCACGGAGAGGATGACCGTCTTGCCCTGGACCTTGGGAAGCGCCTCGATGAAGTCGATGCCAAGGTCGGCCCAGACCGCCGATAACGCCGGCGGCGGCTGCGGAAGAAAGCCGCCGGCCATACGCAGTGGTCGACCTTTGTATCTTTGGCAGTGACGCGAGCCTTGACGAATTCTCGCACCAAAGCACGCATGTTGGGAAAATGAAAGTCGCGTCGGGCCGATGGAGGGTGCGGTGGATCCCTCGTGGCCGTCATTGTGGACGGCGGCCACAATCTCTGCGAGAGTGGCGACGCCGGCGGGATGTCTGGCGCCCGGCGTGGCGACCATGCCATCCACCAGCTACGCACGGGCAGAAGCGAACACCGGCCGCGGCTCGGCGTGCATGGCGACCAAGGCGGATCCGTGGCTTCGGGCGTGATTTTGAGGCGATCGGCGAAGTCAAAGCGAGAGCGGAGATGGCGGCGACGACCGTCCTCTGATCGCGCCCGAGAAGCGTCGGCGACAGCGTTGAGTGGCGCCCGCCGGTACTCCACCGAGAAATCGAACCGAGGAGCTTGCCGAGGCCAATGATCTTTGTGGGATCGAAGCGAGGCGTGGTCGAGGAGGTACTTGAGGTCGTAGTGATCTGTCTTGACTATGAAGCGCCGCCCCAAAGGTACGGCCGCCGATCTTGGGACCGCTGGACCAGCCCGATCGATTCGGCGCTCGTCGCGGCGAAGCGAGAGTGAGCGGCGGGCGCCACCGGCCGGTGAAAAACGCGACGGGTGGCCCTCTGGACCAAAGACGGCGCCAACCCGGACGTAGAAGGCGCGTGACTCGGCGATGAAGAGCTTGTCGAAGTCGGGCATGGCGAGCACGGGCGCCGTCGTCCACAATGACCTTGAGAGCCGCGAACGCCGCGCGGTGGAGTCGTCCCACCGAAGCCCCTCCTTGAGCGAGCCCGTCGGCGGTGCCGCAATCGTCCCATAATTGTGGGACGAACTTGCGGTAGTATCCGGCGAGGCCGAGAAGCCGCGCACCGCCCGGGGAGGCGAGAGTGGGCGGTCGACGATCGCTGGACCTTCGCCGGGTCCATGGCCACCCAAACCGCCGAGATGATGTGGCCTAGGTAAACAACGCTGGGCGCCCCGAAGGAGCACTTGGACCGCTTGACGAACAACTGGTGGCGGCGGAGAGTATCGA